TTTACATGTATAAAGATTGCATCAGTCAGAGAGAAATGAGCACAACGATGAAACAGGGGATTATCTCCTTAATACCAAAACCTGATAAAGATGTTTTACTAATAGATAATTGGCGGCCCATCACTCTATTGATTATAAAATTTTGGCTTTAGTTTTTGCAAGTAGATTAAAGACTGGACTTGATAATATTGTTGCTGAACCTCAGTCAGGTTTCATTAAGGGACGGCATATTAGTAACAATGTTAGACTGGTATTAGACCTATTGGACTATGCAAACTCAGTACATTCTAAAGCTTTTATCCTTTTTTTAGACTTTTATAAGGCATTCGACACCATTGAACATGGTTTTCTCATAAAATGCCTCAAGTTGTTTGGTTTCGGAATGGAATTTGTAGAGACGATTGAAATGTTTTATAAAGGAATTAATAGCTCTGTGATAATAAATTTCAACACATCTCCTAGATTTGAGATAAAGCGGGGTGTCAGACAAGGTTGCCCTATTTCGCCCTTTCTTTTTATTTTAGTTGTTGAGTTGTTGTCCAGGAACATTTTATGCAATCCTGATTTGAAAGGTATCTCCATTTTTGATAGGGAAATAAAAATTTCGCTAATGGCGGATGACACAACACTTTTCCTTAAAGATAAAGATCAGATACCTAAAGCTATTGAGTTAGTTGAACAGTTTTCTGCGGCCTCGGGTTTAAAGCTGAATATATCTAAATGTGAGTTATTGCCTGTGCATGATTGTGAAGATACCTCGATAGGAAGTATCCCTGTAAAGAATGTAGTGAAATATTTAGGTATTTATATATCCAGGAATCTTTCTGCCAGACAACATCTGAACTTTAATGAGAGAATAAAAAAAACGAAGAATATATTTAACCTCTGGCTTCAAAGAGACTTAACGATATATGGCAGAGTGCTTTTATCAAAAGCTGAAGGTCTGTCTCGTTTTGTTTACCCATCACTTTCTCTTTTTGTTAATGAATCCATGGCCAATGACATTAATAAGTTATTCCTTGATTTTATTTGGAGAAACAAAACTCACAAACTTAAAAAAGCTGTGCTATCTAATAGCAGAGCGGAAGGAGGTCTTGAAGTTTTAAACTTCATTGATACTATTAATACTTTTAAAATTAACTGGCTTAAAAGATGCCTGGCAAACCCTAATTCTGTATGGTTTTTTATCCCCAACTACATTTTTGAAAAAATTGGTGGCCTCTCTTTTGTCTTGATATGTAATTACTGTCCAAACAAACTCCCTGTTGCATTATCTAAGTTTCATAAGCAGTCACTTCTTGCATGGAAGCTATGTTATGTCCACAATTTTTCTCCTCACAAAACTTTCTTATGGAATAATATTAATATAACTAGTAAAAATTCCTCTCTTTTCTATCCAAAGTGGTTCCAAAGAAATATAGTAAATATCTTGTCTTTGGTTGATGAACATGGCTCCATTCTGTCATATGAGAACTTCATGATGAAGCACAGTTTTCCCATTCCTTTTAAGGAATACAATGCGGTAGTTAAAGCCATCCCTTCTGGGTTGATCCATCTAATTAGGAGTCATGTTCTTTTTAATAAAGTAAATACCCCATATCCTCAACCTACATTGTCTATGAACGGCATTCAATTACTTGATAAAAAATGTAACAATAAATATATTCATACAATATTGCAAAGTAAAAACAAAGTCGTTCCAAGAGGAAAATTTTTCTGGAATTCACAGTTGGATGATATAAATTGGAAAAAAACATGGCTTTTACCTAATAAATTTTGCATTTCCAACAAGGTAAAAGAAGTGCATTTTAAAATCCTGCATAAAATTTATCCTGTAAATTCAATTATATCCAAATATATGGATGTTGATAGCTCCTGTTCTTTTTGTGGATGTGCTGATGAAACTTTTACTCATCTTTTCTTTCATTGTGATTCTACAAAGAAGTTTTGGTCTGATTTAAATTATTTCATATTCCATCCTCCCATGATGATTTATAACTTTTCTCTCAAGGATGTAATATGTTATTATGATAATAGTAAGGATCAATCTCTAATTCATGTGGTGAACTTTCTAATTTTATTGGGGAAATTTTTCATTCATAAGCAGAAATTCTTAGGCTCTCAACCCTCATTCCCTTTATTTTTAGTAGAACTTAAATTACTTTTCAATTCCCTTACCCTGATAGATAATAAGAAGTGTAATAGACTTATAGAGTGCTATGAAAATATATTTGGTAAGCTTCCCTGATATTATAGTGATTAATTTACCCAATGTTTATTGGCTGTGTAAGAGGAATTTACTATTAATGTATTCTGTGGCTAGCTATTTTTATTGTATTTTTATTTATTTATTTATTCATCTATTTTATTTAAATGAAATACTTGTAATGCGTATGTATGGATATGTTTGTGTGTGTGTATCCATATTTGTTTTTGTTTTTTTATGTTTATATTTTATGATAGGAGAAATTTGTTAACCTTTCTATTTCTGTTTGGTGTTTGAATGTATCTGACTAATTTTTGTAATTTACAATAAAAAAATAAAATAAAAAAAAAATAAAAAAAAACAGAGGGCAGGGTTTTACTCTAGCGCTCCTCCTCTCCATCTCTCGCTCATAGCAAACTAACGGTTTGAGGGGAGTGGTTAAGCGTTTACCCACCCAAGCTGTGAAACCTACGTCATCAGAAAAAGAAACCGTTCCAGACCGGAAGTAACTTTTCAGATTTTGATTAAAGATTACCAAGGTAAAACATTTTTTAATATATATTTACTTGCACGGATTAATTGTTCACCACAAGACTAGTAATATGCGCTAACAAAGTAAATAGGTTCAATTTTGATTTCACAGGGACTTTTAATATTACTTATCAAACTCTCTGTTTAGTCTGTTTTGGGGAATGTTACAACTTTTGAATATTGAAATTACAACTTCGTTTTGTTTTATGTTGAGTTGGCTTTAAAAAAAAAAGGAAATATAGCTATTTGTAAAACTTTATCGAAAATTATCTTAAAAATGTGAATCATATTCATTTATGTAGTAAGTTTAGTTTACACCTTGATGGTTTACCCACCGACTCGAATCAACTTAGCCCTATAACCATGGGGTAAACTGAGCCATAGGAATACCTTTTTTTTAAATAAGAAGCCACATTTTTAGAACCCTTTCCATTTATGTATTCTGTTCATTTAAAATAATAGGACACATCCTGAAATTTCTTTAGATAATTTTATTTTACTGCTGCCCAATTTTCTCTTGAGGACCACATAAGTAAAAGGATGACTCAAGGCTCGACATCTGACGCCACAGTGAGTTTCTGGATGAGAGGATGTTAATTAATGATTATGTAAATTAGCGAGTAATTACTCCCTTACTGATTGAGTGAATGTTCTTTGTTTTTACAAGTGTACACTTAAAAGTATTTTAATTGTTAATGTTTTTTGTCATTTAAAACTGTTGTTCAGTGTTTTAGAGATTAGTTATTCCTATTGAGAATTTGATCTATTAAACAGTTGTACATACTGTGTGGAAAACAAGTAATTTTGAGCAAACATGTGTATAGTTTCATGAATTTATGATGCTCTCGGGAGGCTACCAGCAAATTCAAAACTATCAGCCATTTCAACTGAAAAATGAAGGCTGTGATATTAATATTGTCCACTAGAGAGAGCCACAGGATAAGGAATATTTTTTTCAAATCGGTTTGCATTCATCTGAACGGAAATAAATGCATTATAAAAGTACAATAGTGTGTACTGAGAGTAACTCTGGCTTTCCTTATATAGAAATCTTGTGAAATGCTTCTAAATCATTAAATGTTTAACTTTTTAGGCAGACATAAACATACTTTTCAAGTTGCCAGACATGATTAAATATCTGTCTATTTAATATGAAGAGACAATTTTATGTCTTTTTAACAATTGTACAATTTCTATAAAGACATTTTTTTGTTGTGATATGAATAAAATAAACTCTTATGTGATAAAATAAGGTATGAGCTGCAACCGATGTCTTCACATCCCTCTAAATTCCTGATAATATACTGTACTTGATCTAAATTTAAATTAGGGCTGTCAAACGATTAATCGAGATTAATCGCATCCAAAATAAAAGTTTTACATATGTGGGTGCACTGTGTATAATTATTTTATATATAAACACACACACATGCTTGTACATATTTAAGAAATATTTTCATGTATATACTGTATATAGATTTATATATAATTTTATATTATATATAAATATTTTATATATAAATAATATTTTGTTCTTAAATATACATGAATGTGTGTGTATGTATATATATATATATATATATATATATACAAAAAATAATTATACACAGTGCACCCACATATATTATGTAAACACAAACTTTTATTTTGGATGCGATTAATCGCAATTAACCGTTTGACAGCTCTAATTTAAATAAGATTCAAGATGGTGTTTGTTTGCTATATAAAAACTGAGCTAAAAATAAGGCATCTCATTTAAACAGTAATTGAATATATTAAAAAAATCATTGCCTATTTGCACACATGTTCTTTTAGTAGCTAATCACATTGTTCGTTTCTTTATAAAGGAGTCTTTACAAACGACAAAATGATTAATTGAACAAATGACAAGTTTTCCAATCATATTGTTTTACAATGTTTATTACATTTTGTTATAGACAAGATCGAGCCCAGTCTCTGACAAGAACATCCAGGCCTGAATTTGTATTCATAATATGTTCAGAAAGGGCGACTAACAAAGACAAAACTGCAAAAGGGGAACTACAAACTTCAAATCTTTCAAAAAAACAAACAAACAGTTTAGCTCATGCTAGCAACATTTTTGATGCTTTCTTGTAAAGTACTGTGAAGCTGATAGCAGAGCAGTATCAAATCCATTCCCGGGTTTTAGTGAAAACACAGCCGCCTGGACTGGATTTTGGATTGTGGATTGAGGCAGTGATTGGAGGATATGTTGGGAATGAGAACTGAAGGAGGATGGGAAACAAACAGGGAGTGTTGTGTGGAGAGGCCGCGGTGTTCACATAAGACGCAACGATATCTGATAATTGGTCGAATAAACGGCGTGTTTTGCGGACTGTGATGTATAACTCGCGTGCAGGGAAGTAGAAGACGATATTTCCAGCATATATTTAACGTTACTTAAAAACCCACCGCATTCATCAAATCCAGCATGCGGCATTTTCACGCGCTAATCTTGGATCTGAAATGGACACAAATGCGACCTGAGACACTGATATATCTGTGATATTCCCTCACGGTGATTCTGACTGCATTGGTGAAGACGATTGGCATTCAAGTCAATTCTTCATTCATGCACGTATCATACGGATACTGAAGACCATCTGTTCGTCTGTTGTGTTATATTTAATTGTCAGTAAAGGACTTGTCCAGTCACAGTGATTTCAGCATCACAGGTGAGACGGCATGCATTATAACAGCCCATTTCCAACCATAATAAATGAGAAAATTACAGTTAAGTGTATTTAACTGTAATAATCAATGTTTATATGCCACTTTGGCATTCTTTTATTCAGCCTTAATAAAGTCTCATAATTCTCTCATTAGTAAATTGTATTCGCTCACTAACATTGTTCAACAAAGATAACGTACGTGCGTCATTTCCCCTGAACCGTAAAGAGCAAATGCCATTTCCATTACATCTCAAATCATTAATTATGTGAGTGAACTGATACTTTAAATATTTCTGTAATAAAATGGCCGGCTCCTTTATCTTGCTACGGATAATGATGTCACTGTCGTACCTGAGCGAGGGGCATTTAAATGTGTTGAATCACAAATATAACCGTATTCTGGACAAATGTGGGCAAAATAGTTTTGATTTATTTAAAAAAATCTGAGCGGTACAAGACTTGGCTACTTTTCTTAAGTTTGCCTCCTGAACACACAATTATTTTTGACTCAATTCTACAATGTTAAGTGGGAGAGAAAAAAACTCATAGAAATGAATGGGGAAAGCTGTAATTTAGAGCAGTTTAAAATAAGCCAAAATAAGATGCCAGGTGACAGCAAAGTCACTTTATCTTTAGGTTTTAGCTCTAAGAACTTATTGGAATGATATTTTAATGTATTTTTAAAAAAACACACATAAAAATAAGCATAATTTACATAGAAAATATAGTACTTTTTGAAGTAAATAAATTCAAAAACACCCCCAAAATAAAAAAAAAACCCACCACAAATGGATAGACAAAACTTTATCGAAGACAGTGATATAACATTTTTAATAAATAAAAATTAGGATCACACCTTAGTCCTCTGTGCCCACAATTACAGGATTAAGGGCTATAAAGTGAATTCGGTTTGAGGCCTACAATAGTTTATAACACTGTTCTCAAAAAAAAAAAAAAAAAAAGATCCCTAAGGCCAATATGTAAAAGTCATTTGAAAAAGTAGCCTAGCTCTCTCTCTTTTTTTTTTTAATGCGACCTGGAATGACCTTCATGTAACAAAAATAACCCAGACAGCTGTTACGTGTGGATTCGAGTGTAACATACCAGATGTGGGCCGGATCTGGACTGACACTATGTTGCTGTCTGGGGAAAGTTTGATAAAATTTGACAAATGTAGAAGTTCATGCCAAAATAGTTACCCCATAATTGACTCACCCTCATCAAGCCACTCAGGGAGTATTCATTCTTCTTTCAGCCAAACACAGTCTGAGTTATATTAAATATATATATATATATTGGCTCACCCGACTTTATAATGTGATTAGATTTAGATTTTTGAAGCCCCCCAAAAGTGTATCCAAACATCATAATGCACATGACTCATTCAAACAGTGTCAGAAGTTTTCAAAATATTAGTTTTCATTCGTTTATTACAGTACTAATATTTACCACAGCTTTGCTGCACTAACAATGATAGTGTCAGTGGTATTTTGAGTGAGTAGGTTTGAATTTCGTAAAGGTATAGTCATTTTAAATCACAATTACGATTGATTTTTTTTTCTGAAAATGCATTAACTTGATTTGTATATTAAACATGTGGTAATATATGTTGTTGGATTATAAAATTAATAAAGTACTTGACAAATGAAAAGTGCTTTTCTTATTTGATTTTTCTTTTATTTGGAACTTGGGGCCCCATCCCAAATGGCACACTTCATGTACACCTATATTCAGAAAATTCAAATTAAAGTGTTCGTTCACCCCAAAAAATTCAATTCTGTCATCATTTCGTCATTTCGGTGTTTTACTTATTCTGGTAGCATTTTGTTATCATCAATAAATTTGTGCAACGGCTAACACTTTTATTTTGTATTTTTACTTAGCAGTGCCATGCACCCCCCATCCAAAAAGCTGATGCCCACATAGAGGTCTCTGAACAGACACCCTCTGGCCGCAGAGGATGCTGGGAATGTGTCGTGGGCGCAGGAAGTTTGTGGCTGCCTCCCTCGCCCTGATCTTTATCCCGGCCCTCACCTGGCTCTATCTGTCCTCCGCGAACTTCACAGGTACGACAGCACGCATCACAGAATACATGAGCGGGAAACATGGCGCTGAGTATTTCTATAGACACTTTATAGTAAGTATACAGTAATAAAGTACTTACAAATTATTAAAAAACTCTTTATGACTTACAAATTATTATAAACTCTTTTGTTTATTCATAGGTTATGTATTGTAGTCTCTACATTGTTAATATACTGTATTAATAGGCTATATGCATTTCTTCATTCATGTTACTGTAATTAACACAATTCAAATTATTTCAATATTAAAGGAATTGATAAATGGTTATTAGGAGTTTAGGATTAGGTCATGGAAAATGGAAAATATCATTAAGGGCTTTAAACCAACTTTTGTTGGACATTAACATTAACATTCATAATCAGTGTTCCTTAAAATGTTTACAGTTATATTAAAGGAGAACTCCGACGCAAAATGAACCTTTGGTCAAATTACACATTGCTGCCTAGTCAACCGTTCTCTGAGATTTGTTTTAACTCTTTACATGTGAGCTAATTAAACAATAATAATTGTGTTAATTACAGTGACAGTGAATGAAGAGACTACAATAATATAGAGACTACATAAACTAATACTTTACAAATGATTTTTAAGTAATGTATTACTGCATACTATAAAAAATAAGTTGCACATAAATGTTACAAGTATTGTTTAAAATGTTTAAAGATTTCATTTTCTGGTTAATTTAATTAACTGTTAATCAACAAAAATAGCTTTTAGATGTAATATAAAAATAAACAATTCAAATGACATTTCAAACATCGTTGTCTGTAAATCTTTAGTAGTCTAGGTGATATGTGAAAATTATGTTCACTTTTTCACAAAACTATGGAAATTGGTACACACATACAGTTTAGGGCCCTGAACATTTTCAGAAATGCAAAAACGCCTTGTGGCAACTAGAGCCAGACCGATATATCGGCAGACCGATATTATCGGCCGATATTAGGCATTTTCCAAACTATCGGTATCGGCAGTTATAATGGCCGATAAATGAATATTTCAAAAATAAAATAAAAACAGAAGAAACACGCTTGAACCATGTCATGAGTGTTGGAGTTGTATAGTTTGTCCACCAGAGGGCGCTCTACACCGTTCCTGTTACGAGACATACATTGCTTGAATAACAATTAAAAGAACATCCGCATCAGTTCTCTTAACTCAAATAAGCATGACAAAATGTGTGACTATCAGTTTGTGACTGGCCAGTTTAAATAAATAAATAAATAAAAAATATCGGCCGATATATCGGAATATCAGATTTTAAAACCCAAAAATATTTGTATCGGCCTTCAAAATCCTTTATCTGTCGGGCTCTAGTGGCAACCATGTCTACCCCTATGTTTTGATGGTCAAGGATTTCAATAATACAATACACAACATGTTCAGGTGAATAGTTAATGGTGAATTCAGTGACGTTGTGAGAAAGATTACTATGAAATCGCTGTATCTGAGCTATCATCTGAAGCTGGGACCACACTAAAAGATTTTTTAAATCTTATAATAGAGTGCCGAAGTTATGACGTCACTCTGCAGGCCAAACCGCGGAAGTGAGTTAGCATTTTAGCACTCCCGTTTCCCGCGCTCTAAAGTCTATGGGATTTTTGAACGGGTTTTTGCTAAATCGCCTGAAATAAGTTCTGTGGTGAACAAAGCCTCTATACTCTAAAAAATACTGGGTTGTTTGAACCCAATTTTGGGTAAAATATAGATAAACCCAGCCATTGGGTTACATTTTTTTAAACTACATTTTTAACCCAATGGCTGGGTTTGTCCATATTTTAGCCAAAATTGGGTTAAAACAACCCAGCATTTTTTAGAGTGTAAATATTTTCACTTTTCGATCTATGACATAGCAGACTGATCTCATGAAGTAGCGTGTCCCAGACAGCAAACTGACATTGAATCAACGTGGAAACGACGTCTCTCATGACATTGAAACAACGTTGATTTTGCTCATCGAATTAACGTTGAGCCAACGTCAGACGCGGCATTCTTCAAAGCTAAATGAAAATCGAAAATTGCTTTCATAACGTTGAAACAACGCGTTGATTTCAAGTTGATTTTCCGTTAGTTTTGAAAGAATGACACGTCTGACGTTGGTTCAACGTTAATTCGATGAGCAAAACAATGTCAGATCAACGTTGTTTCGATGTCATATTTCCACGTTGATTCAATGTCAGTTTGCTATCTGGGGTGTATGACATGCCAATTCGTATTTCCATTTTTGGTGTGCTATCAAGACGCATAATCGCTTTTTAGCGTGTTTATGAACGCCGTTGACTTAACGTTACATTACTGTATATATAAATATATGACTTACCTCAACCCCGTCCCTAAACCTAACCGTCACTGGGGTTAATGGCATTTATGACTGTTCCCTTACCATCCTAGGAAAAAAAAAGATCGCTCCCCAGATGTAGATCGACATTTTGCTTCGTTTCGTGCGGACATTTGACTGCGTGTACAGACCACACGCGGAATCACTCGGACATTAATGGCATAGACATACACGCATTCACGCGGATTGCTTAAAATGTGTAGAGAACACGCCACTTTCGAGTCAATGTTTACGCAAAAGTCATGATGTCATGTTGGACATAGAACACAGTTATAAGCTGCTTGTGTTTTTTAAACTTTATTGTGTCTGCTTGTGTTTTGTAAAAACTTTAATTGGCTTCAAAATGTATACATTTTGGATTAACTAGATTATATTGTAAAGATTAACGTGTTAGGGTCACAACTCTTTGTTGAACACATATTTTATTTTTTGCAATATTCCAAAAGTCTATGGGAAAAATGCATAGCTTTTCGATCGAGGGAACCCATGCGCCGCTAGCTTCCGAGTTCGCTTCGGAACACTTCGCCACACTTCGCCACTCTATATTTTTTAAATGTGAGAGACCACAATCATGACGTTAAAAAATAAAAGATTTATCCATTTTGTTCCTCTAGTGTGTAGAGTGCCGCGATGTGACCAGGAACTCACACCACACACTAACAGATTCACAGACAACACAGTCCCGTCGCAAAATCTCTCGAATCAAACGTAACTTTAATGTAAACAAACATGGTGGACGACTGGCAAGAAGAAATTGTGCTCATAAGTGTATCTATATTTTTTTAAGCCACGGACACTCCAAGCCGGCAGTCAGTTTTTGATGGTTGTTTTTTTTAGTTGTGTTCCGCACCGTTGGCTCTAGTCAACACAGTCGGCTTTCGTCAGCGCTCGTTCTTTGTTATGGGTTGGGTGTGTCTGTTACCTTACAGAGGAAAAAAGAGAAAAATGTTAGATGTAACTGTGAAAATGTACTTTACATGTTACAGCATGAGCTGGAGGTGAGTCTTCCATCTGATTGGGTTTTGTTTTGTTTCACAACAAGATTTCTGATTCCTGGTTCTGAAGTTCTTCTGAGCAGATTCGGTCACTCATAACACACCCCACACCACAGGAAAATCGGATACGGTAATCTGTAGAACCATCAAGATAATCGGGACATTGGCATGTCGGAAGAAGATAAATTGGTCCAAAATAACCCCGAATATCTTGTGCCCAGCATATGTGATGACTTTGACCATCTCACCCACAAGAATCACCTTGCACACATGAAGAGGTACACACAAAGATGCGGCAGATACTGCAAGAAAAGGATTTAAAAAGATCACCCTGCGCACCAATGTGGACCAACTATTGTGGTTCTAGCCATAGCACCTGTGTCAGAGCTGGATATTGAGGAGTTGTGGGTGGCATTTGGGACTGGCAAGAACTTCAGGGACATGCCTCCCCATGAGATTGCCAAGTCTCTGGGTACTATTAAATTCAAGGCCTTTCCCGTGTTCACTGGCTGTCTCTGCATTTGCAACCAGGGGCAAGAAGGCAGTATGGGATACCTGGAATGCATATTACATGGCTCCGTCAAAGGCTACAAAAAGCATTCGAGAGTAGGGTTGAGTATCGTTTGAATTTGAACGATTCTGATTCCGATTCTGATTCCTTGTTTCGATTCCGGTTCCTAACGATTCTCGATTCTGATTCTTTTAAGAGGCAGGGTCAAAAAAGTTTAGCTAACCTTGCTAACCAACGGCCTTTCTGAAGGAAATAATCCTTTCTGAAGGAAATACTCCTGTCACAAATACTCCTTTTGTCACAAATTTTGCATTTTGCAGAGATTTCGTTATTTTTAGAAAAGTGAAGCCACACTTTGGATCGCCGACGTAAGCTAGTCATGTTCGACTCGCGTGGTTATGCCAACACTTCCGGTAGACGCTTCTTCATTGGTGTTGTTCAGCGGTTTCTTCTTCCGCTCGGCGGACTGTGAATATCGAAACTAGGAATCGAAATTTTAACTTTTGAACGATTCCGGGAAAAACTAAAAGTTAGTCTCGGTTCCAATCGATACTCGATTCTCGATACCCAACCCTATTCGAGAGGAGATCATTATCGCACCAGCAGCGAACTCAACATCAATCGAGCTCGTCTTGAGTTGCCCAACTAAGGATGCACTGGTGCAGTCATGTCAAATCACCTTCATTTTTAAAACACTTTGATTCAAAGCAGTTTTTAAACTCCAAAAACTTCACAAACATGTCGCTATTTGTACAAATTTCAACATATTCATTCAATTTAGAATTTTGCACACGCAAGTTGAAAGGTATTTGGTTGCGGTTAGTAAAACATTTCTGCAACATTAATCAAGTTCATTGGTATTTGTGCTTGCACTTGTTAATCAGTTTGATACTATATTCATCCCATACATTTTTACTGTGTGCTGAATGAATAAAGTCACTGTAGCCTGTCTAAAACTGACGATTTACCCCACTGGCTTTAATGACTTTTGGCTGAAAAAGTTAATGTCTTTGCTGTCACTTTATTATGTGAATTAAATATTATACTCCCCTGATTCATGCTCACTGATGTTGAACAGCTCAAATAATGTGTTGACACTATAGGCACATAAAGTTTGACATTTGAATGTGTTTGCGATACATTCTACCCCTGGTGAAAAAAAAACCTACTAAAATGTATTTAAAATACATTTATGTCATACCAAGCATGCCGCACAAGCCCTCAAAAGTGAAGCCAAAACGTCTCGATCGCCCCCCCTGTGACCGGACCTAGTATAGCTCATAACCCCATGTTCTTCAATGGGACGCGAGACCAACTAAACAATTAAATTACACTTCACATATCCTTTATCCAAAGATAGTTTCTGTCATTTACTGTAGTTTCTATCACGTTGATGTAATTTCAAGTGTTCGTTTTTAAAATAAGTTTGTTTTTAGTTAGTTATGTGATGATAAAAACGGTGCTCTGACATCATGATTGACAGGTTCTCTGTGCGAGGTAGTCACTGAAGCACCAGCGGACTTTTTTTAATAATGTTGATTATGTGGTTAGTAGTTGTATTTACCTTATTTTAACGAGGTTCTGCGATCAGCAGACATCATTGGAGAAGAACGAAGCAGACAGAGGACACTTAATGAAAGTGCGGCGCGGGGCGTGTGCTTGCGTTTGATTCAGCGAGAATGAGGGCGCGGCCTTGATTTCGCGGCTTTACTTCCTGTTCACGACTGCGCATGACTGGTCCCGAAACACGCAAGTGCGCAGACTCAAGTTCAAATCGAGACACTGGCGGCTTCAGTTCTCTCTGATGGAAAAGAGCGAAGGGGCGTCGTCCATCTTTTTTTACAGTGTCATACTAAGTATACTACAAATACATTAACATATTTACTGATATCACTGATATATCAGACTTACAGTACTTTATTGCACACACAGTGTACATTTCTTAATATTAAACCTAAAATGTGTTTTGATACATCACTTAGTAAGGATAGTGTGATCTCTGTTTAAAATCACTTTTTTAACCTATATTTATATAGCGTTTTTTTTGTTTTTTTTGCCACGCCGCATTGAAGCAGTCATCTCTGCAAAAGGATTCCCGACCAAGTATTGAGTGCATAACTGAACATAATTATTTGAAGGTTGACTTTCTTTTTTTTTTTTTTTTTTTGTATTAAAAACACTTCTTTTATTGGTCGGATGAAATATGCTAATTTTTTGATGCAGGAATTTTGGGTTTTCATGAGCTGTATGCCAAAATCATCAGTATTAAAACAATAAAACACCTGAAATATTTCAGTTGGTGTGCAATGAATCTAAAATATATGAAAGTTTCATTTTTATCATTACATTATGGAAAATAATTAACTTTATCACAATATGCTAATTTTTTGAGAAGGACCTGTATCTGATGAAACGTATAAAGGTTGCCTTGCCCTGGAAACTAACTGAAGTGAGTTTAAGTGCAGTAGAAGGGCTAGATTTATAAAAGTGTGAGAGCACAATCCCAAAACAGCGCCGATGGGAATGGAAAGTTCTGCACGTGATCTACTAAATTATACAACACAGACACAGCCGGATCATCATTCATGTTCGTAAGCCGTGTAACATGGGTTCATTCTACACTGTACATTTTTTGTTTGTTTTTCCGAGTGTATTTTTTGTGCTGCTACCTCAACTATGACACTATTTTCTTGCATTATTTTCCTGTTATTTCTATAAAGCTGCTTTGAAACAATCTGTATTGTATAAAGCGTTCTGTAAATAAAGGTGACTTGATTTGACAATTGCAGATTTGCAATAGGTGGCACTTCAATGTCAATACTGAATTTGGTTATGGTTACACTAGAATTGGTTACAAAAAAGTTCAAACAAAAAATAAAACATAGTTCGTTGTTCCAGGATCTGTGTAGATTTTTACCAGAGTGGAGAGAGAGAGAGAGAGGTATAGTGTAAGTTTATAAAAGAAAAGAGAGAAAGAGAGATGTCATTCAGGATTTCAGTCTGGCTTACGGCTTTGGGTAGAGAGGAGGAGCAGAGTCCCAAAAACTATCCAGAGAAAAATCCCAGAGCAACAATAGTGCTGCAGGGATGACGTCAACCCCAGAAGACCAATTCACCAGTGACTTGAGATTCTATGGGGTTTTCCATTAAATTAATTAAATCAAATTAAGGCTGTGGTTAACTTGATGATACTTTGCTTTGTTCTCCTGCGTAAATTACACGCCCCCATAATGAAATTGTGAATTTTGAAGCGGTTATCCTTTTGTGTAAAAGTGCATCTGCACTCATAATTTGGACGTGTGTGTTGATGGACAGATGTTCACCTAGTAAATGATCCTCGATCCGTCTCTGTTTCCTCCTCAGTCAAACCGCTGTCTCTGTCACCGTTGGATCCTCAGTCATCGGTGCTGATCGGTGCGGCCGCCGAGCATCAGGCTTTGGAGCTGCGGCTACGAGACGTGGAGGAACATAACCATGCCCTGCGGAGAGAGATTAGCCTGTTGCCCAGGGTCCCGACCCATAGCAGCCATCATAGCAACGGTCGCCAAGGCAACCACCTTCACACCCATTCCACTGAAGAGGGTACAGGTGATAGTGAGGCTAAAAAAGGAGTTGCCTCGGGCAACAGCTCGGACTGTGTGCCTCAGCCTGTGGTGAACAAATGTGAGGTTAGTATTCTGAATTAATACCTTACACTGAACAGATTCAGACTTTATCAAGACTAAGGGTGCTCCGATTGATGAGCGAGTTCGAACAGGAGAGTCACGAACGCGCATCACAAAACAGAGCAAGGCGAGCATTTGTGCTTATAAAACTTAAACGTTGTCACTTTTTTATTAAATGGCCGCTCGTTTTTCCTAGATAAGACCCTTAATCATCGTCTGTAATCGTTTAAAGCTCTTTGAAGCTGCACTGAAACCGTTTGGCTGTACTTTTGGCTACGTCACCCGTGACCTTTTGAACGTAATTACGTATTACGTGACGTTACAAACGCGCCTCAGAGAATATAGCAAGGCTAGCATTTGTCCTTAGAAAAGTTACATTTTTGGAATAAGCTTTGAAATAACCGATCGTTTCGCATGATAAGACCCTTATTCATCGTCTGGTGTCGTTTAAAGACATTTGAAGCTGCATCTGAAACTGTTATAACTGTCATTTGGACCTTAAACCATCCGGTTCCCATTGAAGTCCATTATATGGAGAAAAATCCTGGAATGTTTTCATCAAAAACCTAAATTTCTTTCCGACTGAGGAAAGAAAGACATGGACATCTTGGATGACATGGGGGTGAGTAAATTATCAGCAAAGGTTTTTTCAAAAGTGAACTAATCCTTTAAGGTGAACTGCGGCGCAAGTGCGTGCTGAACCCTGGGTAGAGAAAGCTATGGTTCGATTATTATAAAAAAATTTTTACAGAGAACCATTACACCCCCAACAACAACTCCCTAGAAACCACTCAAAACCTATAAACCTATACCAACTACATAGCAATGTCTTAGAAACCAAGAAATGTCCCAGAACACTCTAGCAATAGCGAAGCATAGCAATTCCCTAGCACCCACTTTGAAAACTCTAGCAGCCGCATATGAGCACCCAATAAATAATCCAGAACATTTTAGTAAACGCATAGCAATGCCCTAAAAACCACCCCAGAACACTTTAGTAACTCTCCAGAAAAGCCTAGCAATGACCACACTTAACTAGTAACTGCACAGAAATGGCTATGGAACTAGAAATCACCCCAAAGACTCTTGCAACCACACCCAGCAACACCCTAGAAACCATCCAGAACACTCTAACAAACGCATAACACCCTAGCAGCCATTGAGAAACCGTATAACAACCTAGCATTATGGCGGTCCATTTTGCACCATCTTTTACGTTTTTAATAAAATTGATTTTGTCGATGTAGTGTCGTATTTTAAAATCGTTATTGCAACACAACTTGTCTTTCTCATCACAGACCATTCACATTGCCATCGTGTGTGCGGGGTACAATGCGAGCAGAGATGTCGTCACTTTGGTCAAGTCAGTTCTGTTTCACAGGTAAGTTTGAGTCATTGAGGTTGTCCACGTTCAGAGGATATTCACGGCTTCTTATGTTGCCTCAGAGGGTTGCTGCTTATGTAGACAGCAAGGTGGCTCAGTACGTTTTTGAACAGAGCTCGAGTCTCCAAGTGCATCAGAAGTGTTGGAGTTGGAATTACCAGTCACTCTTTTCATCATAGGGATTAGACCGTTGTACTAGACATTAGGGCTGGGTAATAAATATCGATTTCTAGATATTAATCGATTCTGATTTTTACAAACCGATATCGATTCTTAAATCTCAAGAATCGATTAGTCATCCTGTTTCATTTGAATGAATGAGACTGTATCGCGGCTGCGCGCATCCAACAAATCGCAATAATCTGTCCTGCTTTGTTACTATTGATATGAAACAAAGTCTCAATTTTCAAATTACGTCCATTTTCTTTAGAAATTCAAAAACATAAATAGCGTTTTGCCGTTTTGGCGCTGTGGCGTGAGATCGCTCTGGAGAAGCAGCAGCGCTGATCTCTCTTCCGGGTTAATAATAGCAGTTACAGCGCGAAATAAACATGAATGAGCATCTGAAAGTGTGTTAAAAGATAGAGTACAACTTATCGAAATCTGTATCATTTCACATTGATTCGCTCAATCTGCGTTTCAACCGTGGAAAGACGTCAATTAAACAGCTTGTAATCAATGTCATGTATCGTCATATTTACCTCAGAAAACCGTTAGTCCACACTCGTTAGTGTTCTTCAATATTTAATGCATATTTGAATAAATCTGGCAAGTTTTTATGACAGCCACCATTTAAATGTTTATATTTCATATAATCTTCTTATTATAAAAATTTAAGTGTTTGTATAGCTACAAAACAGTTAATTATTACCTTCATATTAGGCTAATGAAGCCTAGTAGGCTACAACTAGACTATAGACCATAGTTTACAGCATTTAAGAGATTTGATTCCCTTGAGAAAAATTGCCATTTATTGTAACTGATATCCAAAATAATCGATATTGAATGGAATCGAAATCGAATCGAATTGCAAGCTTGTGAATCAAAATCGAATCGAATTGGGAAATTTGTCTCAATACCTAGCCCTACTAGACATACTTTGTATGGAAAGACCTTTATTAGACATTTAAGGTTGGCATGGGGTAATAAAATGAGAATGCTGAAAACCTAATGTTTGTTCTCCCACTATGTGTCAGACGGAACCCACTCCACTTCCATATTATCACGGACTCCATCGCTCGGAAGATCCTGGCCGACCTCTTTCACACCTGGATGGTGCCGGCCGTCCATGTCAACTTCTATGACGCTGATGAGCTGAAGGTTTGTGTGGCTACTGCTTTGCTCAATAGAGCTCAACGGAAATGCAGATTTTCAGCAGCCTTGATGCCTGAAGTATTTCTCCTGATTAATTTTCTTTTTAGATAAAGATTGATTCATAAACTAAATCAACCCGCTGTAAAATGAACCACATGTTGGATTTAAAGCAGTGTTTATTAATGAATAAACTACTTGTTATTATAATTAGGGCTGAACGATTATGGAAAATAATCTAATTGCGATTTTTTTAATTTATTTTTTATTTTATTTTTTTCTTAAAGGGTTAGTTCACCCAAAAATGAAAATTCTGTCAGTATTTACTCACCCTCATGTTGTTTCAACCCCGTAAGACCTTCGTTCATCTTCGGAACACAAATTAAGATATTTAAGATATTAAGATCGCTCCTGCATACAGTCCATAGGCTTCTTGAAGATGAACTGAACTGAAATTTGAGAAAAGGTGATATAACAGATGTATTTTATTTATTCTCATTGGTACGATTTTTAAAATGGCAGAATTTGTTAAAAGGGATAAAATGGTACATTAAAAGTGTTGTTTTTGTTACACGGGCGCCGCCATGTTGGATTTCAACGTTCGACTACGTCACTGGCATGGTAAGCCACTCCGTTGCCTACCCGCACCAGCAGAACAGCCGTAGCTTGTAAACAGTCTGAGGCTAGCTGACATGGCTGAGGAAACAGATTTTTTAGCGACACACTATTTAGAGATGTGTACTTTCGTCAATGAGTACATGAAACGTCTGACAATGCATGAAATGTTTTATTTACACAAGTAACAAGTTCAATGCATCACGTTAACGTTACTCGAATCCTTGGTATTCGGGTGAGGGGGAAAAGATCCCTGATACAGTTTACTGTAAAGGATGGGATTTTCTCCTTCCTAAATAAATGCACCCTCGCCCATAGAGTGAACTGCCAGTACGCTGTTAATCTAAACAATCTGAGAAAAGTGTAACAAGTTAGCCCAGCCGTCACCTATTCGTAAAATACCCTGTTACTTATGGGGCGGTCCAGCGTCTCAGCTCGGACATCCATTATAGACAGCATAGCCTCCCCCAACACGTTTCTCTCACCGAACAGCATCCGAAATGAACGGTGCATGGTGATGCATTTTTCGCCGATCAATAAATGTCCATGTTGACCTCTCTGCAACAGATCGTCTCCGTGCAGTGTCTATGCTCCACAGCGCTCGCGCCCACAGTCACTTTCCCCCAAACGATCCTGTACTGCAAGTGAAGCCTGAAACTGATCGTCCTCCATGTGGTGGTAGTCAGACACTACCGGCCTGTCCCTCACGGGCTCAAATGCGTAATCCATGCCGTTAAAAGTGCTCATTTTCGTCTGTGTATACAGGACCTACAGCTGTTGTCTATGGCGCTCCGCGGGTCCTACCATGCCAGTGACGTCATCGGAACTGCCAGCACAAACAAGCGCAATTTTGCGTTGCCTAAAAAAGCTATATTAATATATATTTAAAAAAAATGTTTAGTGTAATTTACTTTTAATTGTCATAAACAACATGTTTTCAACGTCGAAATTTTTCAGTTCAGTTCATCTTTGAGGTACTGGCTCTTGCTGTCCTCGAAAAGTCATTAAAGACATCGTTAAAATAGTCCAAGTGACTACAGGGGCTCAATCTTAAGTTTATCAAACGACGAGAACACTTTTGTGCGCAAAAAAACAACAAAAATAACGACTTTATTTCAACTATCACTTCCTTCTCCATGAGCCTGTAAGTCAGTTAACGTAGTGTGATTGCGCAGAGCTACGTCACACGTAGGCTCACTATTGGCTGACGCTGGTCATGTGTGTGTGATGCGTGTGACGTACAATAACAGAAGCTTACGCTATTAAACTAGTAACCTGACTCGCGCAGAGGGAGAAAGCCTATGGACTGTATGCAGGAGCGATCTTAATATCTTAAATATCTTAATTTGTGTTCCGAAGATGAACGAAGGTCTTACGGGGTTGGAACAACATGAGGGTGAGTAAAAACTGACAGAATTTTCATTTTTGGGTGAACTAACCCTTTAACCAATATTGCGATTTAATATGCGATTACTGTTAAGTTTTTTACCTTCTGTATTTGTCGACAAAGACAAGCAATAAATAATTGTACAGTAGGGATGGCAATCTCATGATCCAATCTACTTTTTGTCTTATTAATTATTCTTAATAACCCTTAAAATATGTATTTAATTACATCTGTAAAAATACATACTTCAATATATATATATATATGTATGTATGTGTATATATATATATATATGAAGAGTTCAGATGCAAAAGCCTTGGTAAGTGCCATTTGAAATTTTCTTCTAAAATGATAATTTTTATCAAGCTTATATATTTAAGTTCAGTAATTTCACTTAAATAACAATGAAGATTACCTATGAATTGCCATTTAAGTGAAATTACTGAACTTAAATATACAAGCTTGATAAAAAATGATCATTCTAGAAGAAAATTTCAAATGGCACTTAGAGGCTTTTGCATCTGAACTCTTCATATATATGTATGTATGTATGTATGTATATATATATATAAACATTTAATTAAACCAATTACATATTAAGAATTTTAAATAGGCTATATAAACTAATATAGCTTCAAAATGTAAGCTAATAAATAAAGAGGAACAAAAAAAGTGTTACAAGCAATAAACAAAGAGTGGTCTCGGTGTTTAGGCTAAGTAGGCTGTCTGAATGTTTTTCATTCAAGAGCTGGAGTGATTTCCCCCACTACGATACGATAAGCTGCATTCACACTAATGCACATATCGCTTTTGAAATTGTAAATGTGGTTTAAGATATAACTGACCGTGTTTACATTAATTTCGCGTACGTTTAGTACATTTAACCAACGAGTCGCTCACAGCCGCATGCACGAGTGCTGTTCACAAAGCGCTCAAAGTATTTTAAAATGAAAGCAGCCTTCTTTCCCCATGTCTATTTTCTATTTTAAATAATTTGAAATTACTCGCATACTTCCTGCCTTTTTCATTTTTGCAGTCTTGCAATTTTTAAATTCATTTGATTTATTGTGTGTTTTTCAGTCTGAGGTGTCTTGGATCCCTAACAAGCATTATTCTGGCATCTATGGCCTGATGAAACTGGTGCTGACCAAGACGCTGCCCTCCGACCTAGAGAAGGTCATCGTCCTGGATACTGACATCACCTTTGCCACAGACATCGCTGAGCTGTGGGTCGTCTTCCACAAGTTTAAAGGTACTTTTCAATAATATTTCATTGAAAGGATAGCTGTTTTTGTGTCGATTGCAATTAATTTGAATGAAATAATGCATGTTTTGTGGATGATGGTGAGCTTTCAGCCGACTGCACATTATTGATTGGCACTTTCGAAACAATTAAGCTTTGAAAAATGAAACATTTACAAATCTTTTGTTTTGAATCACTGGTTTGGAGCTTGTATCAAATCCTTTGTGCGCCTTTAACTGCATTATTTGATCTCACGCCTGAAGTGTTATCTACAGTTACTCGTATGTAGTGGGTGAGCAACCCGATTGGCTTTCGACATGAAACCCTGTTGCTTAGAAACAACACACTCTTGTTGAATATGTTTGATTATTGTGTCTTGAAGAACAGATGAAAGGAAAGCTAGGGAAGTGCATGTCGTATTGACCGTTTGTTAGGATCTTCAGTACCCGTCTGTTACTCCACACACAAATGTGATAAATGTTAATTTATTTATTTTGTCCTGTATGCTAATTCACACCACACACTTTTGGGGGGATTTTTTTTTTCATATCTGTATTGAAATTCATGTGAATATTTTATTGGGGCATGTTCATGGGGCATAAATGTCAGGGTGATACAGCTGTTCTGATATCACAGTGAAGAGAAAAACCTGAAAAAAAGATCAAAATTTTTTATTATTTTTTTAATTATTATTAATATTTGGAAAAAGTCCAAAAGTGCATCCAGCATGCAGAAAAGTCTCTACTTAATCTCAATAAAAACTAGGGATGGGTAGCGATTAATCGCATCCAAAATAAAAGTTTGTGTTTACATGATATATGTGTGTGTGGTGTGTATAATTATTTTGTATATATAAATACTAACAGTAGGGATGGAATATATATATGCATGTATATATTTAAGAAAAAGGTGTTCTTAATATATCAAATATAAAGTATATAGATGCAAATATTTCTTAAATATATACATGCATGTGTCTGTATTTATATATACAAAATTATTATACACACCACACACACATATATCATGTAAACACAAACTTTTATTTTGGATGCGATTAATCATTGCCCGTCCCTAACAAAAACAAAACAAAAAAACTTCTTAATAAAAATGTAAGGTTAGGTCAGTTTGTAAAATGTCATGTGGTGCAACTTCCCAACATTTGAACAAGCTATGTTTCCATCCACCTAATTTTATGCAAATTTTGGGATATCACAAAAAAAAAACACTGGATGGAAACACTAAAAATGCGCATAAAAAAAAAACTTGTGCTCTCGTTTGAATCAAATACATTTTTTATCCGATTAGAAAAATGTGCATAAACTACAATGTAAACAAATTTTCTAAATAACTTCCTCTATGCGCATCAAAAAAATTGGACGACATAACTGGACTAACCAGCGCAAGTATTTTATGAAATTTGAAAATGACATTATACAGTGGCTTCTCCTACTTTTCTTAGTGATATTTAGTAAGTCATTAAGATGCTAAGTCACTGTGGCTGTTTTTCAGGTCAGCAGGTTCTTGGTTTAGTGGAGAATCAGAGCGATTGGTACCTGGGGAACCTGTGGAAGAACCATCGGCCGTGGCCAGCATTGGGCAGAGGATTTAACACCGGTTCGTCTGCCAGATTTCTGATTATCACGCTTAGATTATACAACATCTACGATATTCTAAGTGCCGTGTGTGTGTTGAAGGTGTGATTCTGCTGTTGTTGGACCGTTTGAGGAAGCTGAAGTGGGAACAGATGTGGCGGCTGACGGCAGAAAGAGAGCTCATGAGCATGCTGTCTACATCACTTGCTGATCAGGTGAACACATCGGCTCCGTTTCAATCCCCACTGAGCCGCCCTGCGGTCTACTTAGTACATTATGAGTGACCGATTTTCAACTAGGCACGTTTGTATGATGCAACATGCAGCACTTCACATAAAAAGCACATCGGAGACCCTCAATTGGTTTGTTTATCGATAAATAAGTAGTAGACGGGGATTAAAGTCCTCGGATTTACGCCAGTTGGATTGCACTAGAGGCAAGAAATGGCACAGCAGTTCCCCTCAAATTGAAGATACATAGACACCTAAACAAATCAATGACCGTCACGATGAAAGCGATGTGTTGACTGCGGAAATGCAAATATATCTGCTCATGTTACGTCAAAGATTTAGTTTTATACATTGTTTTTTTTTGCAGCGTTGAGTATAACAAATCACACGCTTTTGTTGAGTATTTAAATGCAATAACCAACCAGATGCGTTTGTTTCTGTGTACTCACTGAATGAATTTTTGAGTGGAGCTGCTTTAGAGAATTAACATATCAATTTTATGATTATGAACAATATTGTGCCTGCAGGACATCTTCAACGCTGTGATCAAGCAGAACCCGTTCCTGGTGCACCAGCTGCCCTGCTTCTGGAACGTTCAGCTGTCGGACCACACCCGCTCCGAGAAGTGCTACAAAGACGTGTCCGACCTCAAGGTGACGTCACTGTGGAGCTGACACACAATTTCTGCACAAAATGTATTTTCAACACTATATTCTGTGAATTTGTGAGACTTCCGCTTCATTAACCGCTATAGACCATTTCACAAGACGTAAACAACACTGGTCCAGAAGCACTTCCTGTTTCAGTTTTTTAACAGGATATAAAAGCTGGGATAAAATACAACCAACAGAACATTTAAAACTGAATCAAAAAGTTAAACCAACATCTTTTTACATGTGAAATAAAGAAAACAGTTACAAACTGAAACAGGAAGTGTTTCTGGACCAGTGTTGTTTACATCTTGTGAAATGGTCTATAGGTAAATATGTACAAGAATAGCAAGTGGTGAAACTATACCAGTGTGTTCATAAACACAACAAATTATATGGTAAGACATGCAAGTTTTCAATATTAAGATACAAAGTGAGCTGTTTTGTACAGCTAAAAATAGGGAAGTGGATGACAGAGGCTGTGCCTCTCTTACGTTAAAAATAAGGTCGATAGCTGCCGGGACAAACACCTCATCTACGTATTGGGACAAAATCATTGAATCCAGGTGTTCCAATCGCTTCCATGGCCACAGTTGTATAAAATCAAGCACCCGGGCATGCAGACGCTTCTATGATAGGTTCCCACCTGTGCAATGAGTCCATTTGTGAAATTTTCACACTACTAAATATACAATTGGGAACAATAGCAACTCAGCCTCGAAGTGGTAGGCCACGGCCCATGGTGTGTGGAGTGTGTTTTTCAGGGGTAGGTCTTGGCCCATTAGTTCCTGTAAAAGGAACTTTAGCATACTGGGCGATATGACCAAAATTGTGTTTCACGATATGACTAATTTTATTTCACGGTAACGATATATTTCACGATATAGTTATTTATATAGTTATCCTCAAAAAAACCCCCCAAAAAAGACAAAAAGGGCTTTGTATAATAAATAAACAAATACTTTAGAAATGAAAAGTATGTCACCTTTTATTTTACTTGGTAAATTATTTATTTGGTAAACTATTTTTATATCAAAATATTGTAAACAAAAAACACTCATCAACTTTTAGATGAACTTCCCACAACAGATTGATATTAAATACAACTCATAGGTGCATTTCAACTTAATATAATTTTTCGATCTCATGCATTGCTTTACTTCAATCAGTTTATAACATAATTATAATAAAAAATTTTTTACCACATGTGCTTATTATACTGCATTTTTAACTGAGAAGGGTATTCCTGCACAACCGGAGACTGCACACACTGTTTTAACGGGCTCGTTTTGCTCTTTTTTGTTATATCTGGCAACCCGTCAGTTCAGAAGTGACAAGAAGTAGAGCAGCAATATGAAAACCAAACCGCAGCTACTGTTAAGCCCCTTTCACACAGCGAGTTGATCCCAGGAAATTGCCGGCAAATTGCCAGAACGCCTTCTGTGTGAACGCAAACACGACCTGGGATTGCTTCTGGGATTGATCCCGTGTTGGGGACCTAGTAACATTGCCGTAATCAGTCCCGGAACGCGCGCTGTGTGGACAAAAGCCAGGACCAATGCCGTAAAGGGTGTGTCTTTAGTGATGACGCTCGTGCCATCGCGCGACTCTGTTGCTCTTTAGAAGAAAGTTTGTGTTCGTCATCAACAAAGAAAGGACGAACAAATACCTGCAAACTAGGGCTGCACGTTTTCAAGTTTTTCATTAACCGTTAACCGAGGCCCTTTCGGTTAATACTCGGTTAATAGTGTGCGCGCCGCAACCTCGAGATACAGAGTTAATTTTTAACACCTTTAATAACTGGTTGGACCCCATTTGAAACGAAATTAATTTATAGAAATAAAACGCAGTGGTGAGTTCAGAGCAGTTAAAGTAGGCGCGTTTCCATCACCCTTCAAACTGAAATTGCCCATTGAAAATACGCACATTGGCGAAACGTCCATTTCGCAAAAACTCCGTGTCCGCAAATAATAATAATAATTATCATTATTGTAACATTTTATAGGCTGCATATGTAGAAGACGCTTTTATCCAAAAAAGGAGCAAAGCACAAATAAACACAATATTTTGACGCATATCCAGTGTGTGTGCTTTGTGGAGGCTGCGAGACGCCCATGTGAACTTGCAGTTTCATTACAGTTCTTTCAGTGGAAACAACTTAAAATACTCTTTCATTTCTGGTCATACAGAAAATAATAATACATTATTCGCAAATACATTTATTTGCGTAAACTCACAATAACAAGAAAACGTTGTGCTTTAACAAACAGGCGCGCTTCATGATTTCCATGAAGTGAAGCGCGAGAACTGAAACAGCCACATTCGAATTTGTTCGTTTTAAATTGGACATTTAAAGCTTTAAATGTCCAATTTAAAACGAACAAATTCGAATCAAAAGCAATATCTTCTGACTATGTAATTATGTAGCTTAGCTAATTATGTATTTCTAAAGGTGCATCCGGGGATGGAGATTTGTTTTTAGGAGAAACTGATTTAGAAAACAATAGTTTATTAATAAACAATTAATCCCTCGTTATTTTATATTATTTTTTCAGACACATTTTATCAGACACATTTATTATATCTTATAAATCATCTATAAATCCCCTTTCTGTAGGCTGTGGTTACGGCTCTTCTCATTCAGCACTGCGGGGGAAATATAATTTCCAGGTTCTAATTTGGCCTCAGAAAAACCAGTAAAATCTTTTTTTTTTCCATATTCATTTGTCAAATATTTTAAATGTTTAAAGGGTAAAAAAAAATCAACAAATATCTGAAAATTCGTCGATATATGGTCTATATATTTTTGCGCAGCATTTGTCCTACAGTTCAAATGAACATTTTGGTGTTAAACTCTGCGTTTTACAAAATACAACAACCCAGGGGCGATTCTAGGATTTTTTCAACTGGGGGGCACAAGAGGGGCCACAATTATTACAGAGGGGCCATTCTTATGTTGTGTATTTATGTAGAACTGTAGATATCCAAATAATTTCAAGTTCAGTAAGCTTTAAAATCAGCAATAAACAGTGATACCCTGTTATCTTTTAATAGCAGTTATTTACCGCTCTAAATCAAAACAATAAAATACAATTTATATTAACTTTTCACTTTACAAAAGTGATAGAAAAACTGTAATAAATAAAATAATCCAATGTATTAGTGTCCAACTCACAAATAATAATAGAACAGCCTTATTTATATGAATGCATAATTATATTAATCATTCATATAATAAATACTCAATTAAAGAATTCATAAAACTGTAATAAAATTGTATACATCTTTTTCCCCACATCCTATTCAATTTGCATTTCAACAGTTGCAGTAAATTTGCATTGATGAATAGACCAAATCTGCTTATTTCGAGGAAGGCTAATTAGTCTTGAGCATATTGATTGTAAAATATCACATATAATACTTTGTTAGATAGCTACTTTTTCAAAAAGGTATGATTTAGTTTAATGTAATATATGTGGATCATAGAAACAGTGACTTAATTATCCAGTAGTATTAATTATTTATTTTGCTATTTAATCATGCATTTTTATTTAATTATCTTTTTATATTTTTTTATTTGAGAATGTTTCTGGATGCAGGGATTAAATAAAAAAAATTCTTTTGACTGATTTTTTTTTTTTTTCAGGCCAAGTCATATTCCTGTAACTTTATTTAAATAGTCGAAACCAATAGCGTTTAAAGGAGAGATGTTTTAAACCGATCTAATATTGCCAGTTTGCGTAATTTAAAAGCTATTTTAATCTATGAATAACAATTACTTATCTTGACAAATAGGCCTAATCAACCATCTACATAACTTTTCAGTGCATGTTTTAATTTATCTTATAAGACCAAACAATGCTAACTGGCTGAGGGAAAAGTGAAGTTTCATAACTTTATATATTTAACTTTTAGGCTATTTAACTTTAACTTTGTAACCCATTAGAGAGCTGACTTATGTTTAACTGAATTGTTTACTTTATTTCTCATTGTAGCTTATTATAGCCTACCTATTAGCCTACTTATACTGTTGAATGGGATATTATCATTAAAACTGACATTTAACAAAAGAGACAGGGTTGTGTAATTTTATATATTCTAAAATATATAAAATATTCTTTATATGTGTATGTTTTTACTATACATTCTCTTCACTGTGTGTAATACAATAAAACGATACATGTCTGTTTGTTAAATGTCAGTTTTAATGATCAATAATGTTTCACATTTTTAAAATGAAAACAAAAAGAAGCAGGGTTTCGTGTTATAAATATATGCAGTGAAGATAGTCAATGTGAGATAAGGTTACCTGAACCACATTTTTGTGGCCATTAATCTGTTCATGATAATATGTCCATTTATAAATGAAATGAGGCAGAGTGCTGTTTTATGTGTATTTCGTTTTATTGTTGATGAAAAGAAGCAAAGTTGTGTTTTATACCGGAGTAGCCGCATGCTGAGTGACGCGATCAAGAACGCGCTATTCCATTAGCAGAATGACCGGACTCGCGTCCTCTCGTCCTCGGGAGTTCGTACTCCGAAGTTTGCGTTCTTGGTATTGAGAAACGACCAATATTGACCCGCGTTCTGTTTTCTATCATACGACCGCAGCAAACGAGCGAGCAGTAGCCTGACATGCACTTCTCAAAATCTAAGACTAATTGAGTGAACATGGAGCAGTTTTTCCGTGAGCGGGAATTGAAAAACCGGAGTGGACCATGAGCGAAGTGATTACAGAATGCTTAGAGTGGAGAGAGGAACGTGTTTTCGCTCCACTCCAGGCTTTAGCACATTCCCCTCAGCAGGGTGAATACACATTGTCTTTCCTTAAAATAATAAGCTGTATAAAATATATCAACTTACCGTGTGGTTTTGAGAAGCATCGCGCGACGCGGAATCATGAATTATTCTACTACAAGCTGAAAGATTATGATTTGAATTTTTGAGTGACAGACAATTAGAAGGGTGGGGGCACACTGGGGGGCCAATCAGTTTTCAGGAGGGGCCAGTGCCCCCATGGCCCCTCCCCTGGCTACGCCACTGCAACAACCGTTCATTTTTCGTTTTGCAATTAGGCCTACGGATTAAATAAGGGGAAACGAATAAACACAACAGTACACTGACCGTTTGGACGAGGCAGAGTTCATTTTTAAAATTCATAAAAGATAGGAGGAATAGCCGACAAAACCTCAAAGAAATGCCACAATCAAGACCGCGGAGCAGAAATGAGGGAGAAACACACAGAAACTCTGCGACTTTCCCTGCAATTAATGCTTGGATGACACACCACGTCTCCTTCCATAAATAATAATAATGTCTAGTGCGGTGGCTGTGATATACCAACGTCCATTGCCATTATTTTTGGAATGGCTTATCGCGAAAAAAAAACATGTTTTAGTCGCATAACACCGTTAATAGAAACGCTGTCATTTCACAATATTTTTTTATCGACAATCAGAAAAAAAAACGCAAAAGTTGTGTGCAAATATGTATTGACGCCACTTAACCAAACAAAAAGGTTTTACTCGGTTATGCAATTTTAAACGGTTACTGCTAATCGGTTAACCGGTTAACCATGGACACCCCTTCTGCAAACTGAAGCGAAGCAGAGACCAGGAGCTCCTCACTATCCGTACTGAAGCTGAGATCGTTCACCAGTGTGTGTACGGTATGCGCGTTAACATGTTTTCGACGCGTCCGTTATACGTCTCATCCTGACGTCATGCGTCTTCCCGGGATTTTTACGGGTTGTGTGTGAACACACACACAGATCCCGGCAAATCACTGGCAGTGTGAATGAACCGAAATCAGACAATTCCGGGACAAATGCTGGGTCACATTATCCGTGTATTTTCTGGAATCTCTGTGTGAAAAGGGCTTTAGTGTTGACTAAGTAGTTTAAATTATACACACCTTATAAGAGTGCGTCGAACACCGCGCGCTCCCTCTCAGTGCATGTGCACTAGGGCTGGGTATTGAGACAAATTTCACAATTCGATTCGATTTCGATTCACAAGCTTGCAATTCGATTACGATTCGATTCAATATCGATTATTTTGGATATCAGTTACAATAAATGGCAATTTTTCTCAAGGGAATCAAATCTCTTAACTTATGCTGTAAACTATGGTCTATAGTCTAGTTGTAGGCTTCATTAGCCTAATATGAAGGTAATAATTAACTGTTTTGTAGCTATACAAACACTTAAATTACACTTATATTTATTTTTATAATAAGAAGATTATATGAAATATAAACATTTAAATGGTGGCTGTCATAAAAACTTGCCAGATTTATTCAAATATGCTTTAAATATTGAAGAACACTAACGAGTGTGGACTAACGGTTTTCTGAGGTAAATATGACGATACATGACATTGATTACAAGCTGTTTAACTGACGTCTTTCCACGGTTGAAACGCTGATTGAGCGAATCAGTGTGACATGATACGGATTTAGATAAGTTGTACTCTATCTTTAACTCACTTTCAGATGCTCATTCATGTTTATTTCGCGCTGTAACTGCTATTATTAACCCGGACGAGAGATCAGCGCTGCTGCTTCTCTGGAGCTGCGCCAGAGCGATCTCACGCCACAGCGCCAAAGCGGCAAAACGCTATTTATGTTTTTGAATTTCTAAAGAAAATGGACGTAATTTGAAAATTGAGACTTTGTTTCATATCAATAGTAACAAAGCAGGACAAAGATTAGTGCGATTTGTTGGATGCGCGCAGCCGCGATACAATGTCTCATTCATTGAAATGAAACAGGATGACTAATCGATTCTTGAGATTTAAGAATCGATATCGGTTTGTACAAATGAGAATCGATTAATATCGAGAAATCGATATTTATTACCCAGCCCTAATGTGCACGCGCCCGTCTTTTACATCAACAAAATGTGATCGATTAATTTGAGAGTGAAGTTGTAATCACGGATCGAATCAAAGGAAGATTTTATCAACTGGTTCAGTAGGCAATTGTTTGGAGTTAAAAAATATATAACTCGCGCTGCACATTTAGTAATTTTGCCTCAGAAACAGGATTATACATTCGTTTTAACAAGCAGGATGTTCATTCATGCTGAATGCGATTTTCATGTTTAAAAAGTAACTATACATAAGAGAAGGAAAGATGCGGATAACTAGATAGCAAACTGACATTGAATCAATTTGAACAACGTTGATGTGACATTGTTTTGCTCATCGAATTAACGTTGAACCAACGTCAGACGCGTCATTCTTTCAAAACTAACGGAAAATCAACTTGAAATCAACGCGTTGTTTCAACGTTATGAAAGCAAACCAATTTTCGATTTTCATTTAGCTTTGAAGAATGCCGCGTCTGACGTTGGTTCAACGTTAATTCCATGAGCAAAATCAACGTTGTTTCAATGTCATGAGAGACGTCGTTTCCACGTTGATTCAATGTCAGTTTGCTGTCTGGGTATACATTATTTAAGGGTATTTCTCGTAGTGATATTGATATAGCCTATCACGTTAACAACAATCCTTTAGAAAACGTAATTCCTTTGCGGATCCTCTTGATCTGCTTTCTCCATGTTTCTTTGACAAATCTCATCACCAGTCTCACGCGCGCTGCACGGAAGTTAACCACGCCCCCTTATTTGCATTTCGCGGTATACACGGAATAAAAAAAATCTGTTACGACTGACGTTTTCTATCGCGGTAACGATATATATCGCCCTACAAGACATTTTGGACAATTTCATGCTCCCTGTTCCAACATGACTGTGCACCAGTGCACAAAGTAAAGCCCATAAAGACTTGTGGAAAGCCTTCCCAGAAGAGCTGAAGCTGTTAGAGCTGCAAAGGGTGGACCAACTCCATATTAAACCCTACGGATTAAAGTTCGTGTGCATGTAAAGGCAGACGTCACAAAACTTTTGGCGATTTTGGTAGTGTATGGGCATAATATTGAAAGAAACGACAAGAGACCAAATCAAGGGTTGATTCATATAATTTCCCACAGGTGATTCACTGGAACTCTCCGAAGAAACTGCGTGTTAAAAACAAACACGTGGAGTTCTTCAGGAATCTCTATCTGACGTTCCTGGAGTATGATGGGAATCTGCTGAGGCGTGAGCTTTTTGGCTGTCCCAGTGAAACAGACCACAACTCGGAGAATGTGAGTTTTATCACTGGGCTTCATGTTGGCAACTTCAGTCTGCAATGATGACTTTGTTCAGGAAAGAGTAACACGTGTTTTCCTAATATTCCCGCAGCTCCAAAAGACCCTATCCGAGCTGGATGAAGATGACCCATGCTACGAGTTCCGTCGGGAGCGCTTTACTGTGCACCGCACACACGTCTATTTCCTGCACTATGAGTATGAACCAACCTCAGATAACACGGACGTGACGCTGGTGGCCCAGCTTTCTATGGACAGGTAAGAGAACATAGGACATACATCATGCCAATATAGGGCACATTCAATCAAATCGATCCAAACTTGATCAGTGGATGATGCCATCCCAGACAGCAAACCGACATTGAATCAACGTGGAAACGACGTCTCTCATGACATTGAAACGACGTTGATTTTGCTCATCGAATTAACGTTGAACCAACGTCAGACGCGGCATTCTTCAAAGCTAAATGAAAATCGAAAATTGGTTTGCTTTCATAACGTTGAAACAACGCGTTGATTTCAAGTTGATTTTCCGTTAGTTTTGAACGAATGGCGCGTCTGACGTTGGTTCAACGTTAATTCGATGAGCAAAACAATGTCAGATCAACGTTGTTTCGATGTCATATTTCCACGTTGATTCAATGTCAGTTTGCTATCTGGGATTTAACCCTCTATGATATGCTTTATGTTCTAGCCATGAAATATGTTTCAAATACGTTTTTATTACTTGAAATAGCTTCAATCATACAAACTTAGAGAAACCACAATGGACAATATTCAAATTTCTTTAAAATTATGATTTTATTTTCTATTTAATTGCAAAATTCTTTTAGAAATTGATAGATTTATATAATTGGAACTCATGAAAACCAAAAACAAGTATATCCCAGTGGTGGAAAGAGTACTGACAAATTGTACTTAAGTAAAAGTATTGCTACTTAAGTAAAAATTTACTTGAGTACAAGTAGAAGTACTGAAATATAATATGACTCAAGTAAGTAGGTTGCTTAAAAACTACTCAAGTAAATGCGTTACAAAGTACTTTAGTATTTTTCTATTTTTACCCAAAATGGGGAGATGATGGCGAAATGGAGCGCTAAATACTCTCATGTCATCGGTTTCATTCATACTGAAGGCCCAGTACTGATGCATAGAAGTATTAAACTTACACATTTCAGGAAATGCCTTATATGGATATAATAACTTGCAAATAGTGATGTTTTGACTGATGAAACATGACGACAAACACATAATAGCTATAATATATCTGAGTTTATTAAACTGTCAGGTATTTTCAAAAGAATGATGTATGACTTTAAAGGGATAGTTCACCCGAAAATTAAAATTAGCCCACGATTTACTCTCCCTGTGGGGTATTGTGAGTTAAAACTTCACATCCACACTCTGGAGCCATCAGACTTATTTTACATCTTGTGAAAAGGGCATTATGCCACCCCTTTAATGTTGTAAATGAACACTGAAATGAGTTTCCTGCTAATTGAACCGCACTCTATACTCTACTCATGATCATATGCAATGGCATTCACGCTTTGGCCTGAACTCAATTAAAATGATTTGCCTTGTCATCATTCATCATCCTGATGACATTAACTGGCACACTGAACCCCACTGGAATGTTTCGAGTCAAAGCTTCGCAGCTTTTGTGATCAGTGTAATGAGGGATGGCTCGGTTTAGTCAGGCATGTTCGGGCTACTTCAGGCAACTCATCAGTCAGTGCCAGTGGCGGAGGGTTGTCGTCCTTGTCAACAGTGACGGATGTAATCCGTTGTCATCTTGGAGGGCATGACCTCTTTGACAGCACTCGAGCAATAAGGTTGTCAGAGAAGATGCCACATTTAGTTCGACTAGAAGTGCAGTCATGCTGTTTTTTTTTTTTTTTGTGGTGTTTCTTAAATCTTTTCTTTACTAATCAGAGTATATTCAATTAATTTTTTTATGCTCAGTTTGACTAGAAATGAATACAAATGTGAGTGCTCTGTAAAAATAGTTAGTAGTAGATCAGGGTATTTGATATCACCAATATTTATTTTTAAAGTGCCTCGTGAGAACCGTTTTCAAGTTAATATGCTGCATTAAAATGTATCACACTTTCAGAGAATTTATATTTTGTGAAATAATACAATTAAAAACAGATTTGATTCAGGGTTTTTTTTTGTTTGTTTGTTTGTTTTTTTACCAACAAAGATCATTGTGATATACTGTGTAAACATCATGAGATCACACTCATCTGTAATATGCTCAAAAAGCTAAGTAACTAATTTATTAATTTAATCTTGATTTGCTGATTTTTGTAAATGAAGTAAATGTAAGAATAACTTTTATATTGTTAGTAATATTTTAAGATGAACGCTGTACTGAACTGTACGGAGGCGTATTGCATTCACTTGAAGAAAAAAAAATCTACTCCGTTTTTCTGAATTAACGAGTTAATTTTTCATGGGAAAAAAAAATTGCTCTGTTTTTCTGAATTAACGAGTTAATTTTTCATGGATTTTTTTTTTTTTTTTGCTCTGTTTTTCTGAATTAATGAGTTAATTCAGAAAAAAACAGAGCAAAAACTTTTTTTCTCATGAAAAAATAACTCATTAATTCAGAAAAACAGAGAAAAACTTTTTTTCTCATGAAAAATTAACTCATTAATTCAGAAAAACAGAGAAAAATATTTTTTCTCATGAAAAATTAACTCATTAATTCAGAAAAACAGAGTAGATTTTTTTTTTCTTCAAGTGAATGCAATACGCCTCCGTAGAACTGGGGCTGGGTAATAAATATCAATTTCTCGATATTAATCGATTCTGATTTTTACGAACCGATATCGATTCTTAAATCTCAAGAATCGATTAGTCATCCTGTTTCATTTGAATGAATGGAACATTGTATCGCGGCTGCGCACATCCAAAAAATTCGCAATAATCTTTGTCCTTTGTTACTATTGACATGAAACAAAGTCTCAATTTTCAAATTACGTCCATTTTCTTTAGAGATTCAAAAACATAAATAACGTTTTGGCGCTGTGGCGTGAGATCGCTCTGGCTCAGTTCAAGAGAAGCAGCAGCAATCTCTCTTCCGGGTTAATAATAGCAGTTACAGCGCGAAATAAACATGAATGAGGTCTGTGCTGCAGTTCTGTGAATGTTTCGCCCTCCATGCCAGTCACTGAAAACTATGAATCGGGATCGGTGGCCGTTCAATCGGAGCCCCATTTAAATTATTTTATTAAATCTTGTAATTACAAACGTCTGGAAAGAAAACCATGGAAATGAATTGGTCAGAAGGGGTGGCAACCTTTTCCTTGCTTCCATTGAAGCACATGATGTTTGACGCTGGGGAAAAGTTCTATTTAAATGACTAAATAAAAATGTTGTTATGTTTTTGGTCAGTTACTGGAGTGTTTCGTTGTTCCAGGCTGCAGATGCTAGAGGCCATCTGTAAACACTGGGAAGGGCCCATCAGTCTGGCCCTCTACCTCTCCGATGCCGAAGCCCAGCAGTTTCTGCGATACGCTCAGGGCTCGGAGGTTCTGATGAGCAGGAGCAACGTGGGATACCACATAGTCTATAAAGAAGGCCAGTTCTACCCTGTTAACCTGCTGCGTAATGTTGCTTTGGGGCAGGTCAACACACCCTACATGTTCCTGTCGGATATCGACTTCTTGCCCATGTATGGACTCTATGAGTACCTCAGGTAAGACAAAACCTAAATATGGAATGGTAAAAACAATGTTGGTCTGGTCTGATCTCAACTGTTGCCCACAGATTGTTATTTATCTTTAAAAACTCTATTACTATATTAAACGCCGTAACAGTTTATATAAAATTCATATACTTATAATTTCCACATTATCAACATCGCAAATCCATTTTTAATATTTCCTTTTTTTTAATGTAATACATTTATAATGCTATACTTTGTGTTATATTACCCTGTCAGTAAATGCCAAAAACGATTTAACGCTTCTGTGAGGGTGTTTCTAATGCAACAGCGGAGGGAGTGATGGCATATCTGTAATACATTTCTCAAAAAAAAATGCAGATTTGTCTTCTTTTGCTTTTAGATTAAATGCAAATACAACAATTATATTCGGTGTCGTCTCTGTTCATCGCTATAGAAGTTTACACAACTGAAAAGTAGGGATGTCTCAAGGATCCGTATTGGGGCCGATTACGTTTTTTTTTATACTACCGGGCCTGTTGAAACCTTGAATTTGATTGGTTGACGAACGTTCTAAGGTGTGCAGTTATTTTCAGGGAAACGCACAGCTAAAGTAGTTCCAGACAGGTTTTGACTGCATTACAGTCCCATTTCACTTCGCGTAGTTAATGGAAAATAGGATACAATTCATAACAAGTAAAAAATGACAGACGATCGCACTTGATCTGCCATTTTCTATGTCTAACTTCACAATCAATGGAAACGTGCAGTTTAATTTGAATAAATAAAGTATATAGTCCTATCTGTAATTAATAGAAAATTAAACTGAATACATCACAAATAAATTGATAGTCCTGCTGCACGGGTTTTCGTTATCATTGTTAAAATGGCTTTGTGTTTCATTTATTAGGCTAGCCTACTGTCAATAATAGAAAAAAAAAAAAGAATGACTAGCCATGTTTCCATCGACACGTTTTTATCCGAATTAAGTGATATCGAATGAAAAAAGCCTTATGGAAACAGTAAAATTCGATAAAATTTCATGAAAATCGACTCAAATGAAATACGTTCGGTCTCATCGAATTTTCTCTTGATCGATATACGGCTAATGCGATAAAAGCTGATGGAAACGTTATTTGCTGAATAAATAATGAATTGCGATTAAGTTTTATGCCATTTTATGGTTGCAACACGTCAGAAGACGAGTTCATTTCCGGCCAGTCTGTTTGCGCACACATGGCGGATGTCAACAAAGACAGATGTAAGTGGACAAAGCAAAAAGATGCTTCAACCAAAGGTTTTCCGTAAACCACGATCTCCCAGAACTGATGGAGCGCTCGTTCCCACACCACAGTCACCTCCGCTGTCGTCGGGCATACGTGCATCGTCATCATCATAGCAATGTTTATAGCGTCGCTGTTTTCTTAGGTTAGTTTTGCTTGTTTTTACGTGGCTTGGTTGAATTGTACTGTAGAATGTGGTCTGTTATTTCTAGTTAACAGACTGCGGCGCTGCTAGTATAACACACCGTTGCCATGGATGCAGTTCAGAGACGGGACAGACTATTTTCTTTAGCAGAAGCAATACTCGTTTTTAAATCAATAAACTCGTTTTTAAGTCAATATTTTGTGTCAAATTATTGATTTATTTATTTATTTGTTTGATTTATATGTAATAAGCAGGATAATATATAGCGAGGCGGTTGTCATAGCGAATACAACCGCCTCGCATACATTATCGTATTCATATGTCGCAATCAGCTGGCACATAAGCATTATTAGCCTTCAACTTGTGAAATATTGATCATTTTTGGTAGATAGCGCGATCCGTTTTGTCCAACAAAACTTTGTTCGCAAAAGTTTGCTTGAATGTTGTTCGATTCAGTGCGAAAATAAATGGAAACACCTTAAAATGTCTCAAATCAATTCGATCGCAAAACAGCATGTGACATCATTACGTACAGGTTTTTATTCGCTTTAAAGCCGTTGGATGGAAACACACTTTCACCAGCTTTATCCGCATGAGTTTTTTAACCGAATTTCAGATAATTCGATTGACAAGTGAATGGAAACATGGCTACTGTCAACATTCTTGCACTTCTTTATAAAAAAATCTGATGATAAATGAAATACTGTAAGATAATTTTGCTTTAGATTAAACCATGTGCTCATAAACATTTCTAAATGTCCCTTTGGTAAGATATGATGTAATAAAAAAAATAAAAGGGAAGAAAAGTTGTAGCGTAACATTGGTGATAATAGAGATAATCTCTGGTGTGCTTGTTTGTTTAAAAAAAAAGACTAGTAAGATACAAGACGAATACCAATAGCTGAAAGCAAAGCTCCTTTTGCTCTGAAAATAAGAAATACGAGTGCCAACCCATGTACATCAAAGCATGGTTTCCATTATTGGTGTCAGCAAAATGTTCTCAGATTGTGAATGTGATTTGCACAAGTAATCCATCTTGTTTCTGTTTTAGGAAATCAGTTGTTCAGCTTGATATGGCGAACACTAAAAAGGCTCTTGTGGTTCCGGCGTTTGAAACACTGCGCTATCGGCTGTCCTTTCCTAAATCTAAAGCAGAGCTCTTGTCGCAGCTCGACATGGGCACTCTGTTCACGTTCAGGTAAAAACAATACTTAAAAAAAAAAAAGAAAAATTCTCATAAATTTTCTAAATTCATGGCGGATGATGTTTTCTTAGATTTGCAACTGAATCTTCCATGAGTCTTTTGAATCAGTTCATTTCAGTTAATCGATTTAACCAACCTATCACAAACGTATCTGATTATTATATATTTAGTTACGTTTATTATTGTTATTTTTTATGTTTTTGCAATTTCTTGACCGTTTTGCGATGACTTAATAAAAATGAAGAATCATTTACTTGTCCACAGATACCACGTCTGGACAAAAGGTCATGCTCCCACAGACTTTGCCAAATGGAGAACCGCTACAACGCCGTACCGAGTTCAGTGGGAGGCCGACTTTGAGCCGTATGTGATGGTCAGACGAGAAAGCCCCGAGTACGACCGGCGCTTTGTGGGGTTTGGGTGGAATAAAGTAGCTCACATCATGGAGTTGGACGCTCAGGTAACACTTGTATGCATTTATACTATTTATATTTCATTAAAAAGCTTCTTTGGATTTTCATAATAGTTTCTGACTTCAGATTAGTCATTTGTTTTAAATCATCATAGTTCACTTCAGAATAAAAATTCCCTGATAATTTACTCACCCCCACGTCATCCAAGAGCTTCATGTCTTTCTTTCTTTCAAAAAGAAATTAAGTTTTTGAGGAAAAACACATTGCATATTGCCTTGGTAAACAAAAAAATGTTTTTCACAATATAACCCGATTCACAGTTTTATGTGAAAGATTAGGAGGAAGAAAAAACTCTAGCCAACAACATCAATTAGTCAAAAGTAGGGCTGTCAGTTTAACGCGTTATTAACGGCGGTAACGCAAACCCATTTTAACGGCGTTAATTTATTTAGCGCGCGATTAACGGTCTTTTTGTCCTAGCAAACTTTGTAGTTTTTTCACATGCTTTTGCAACAGGACGCGATCCATTTTGGCGTCTCGCGCTCGTCATAAACTCAAAGCCGGCGTGCCTGTTGTTTTGTTTACGGTCTAGATCCGCTTGCGCTTTGGTCGAAGAAGCAACAAAACGTCCTCGCGCAGCGCAACCATTGAAATGAATGGGTTTCAGAGCGAGGACGTTTTGTGCCGCACACACTCGTTTCGGCTTGCGAGCCGGCCAAATAGTAACGTTACGTTTTGAGTGGATGACGAGCGCGAGACGCCGAAATGGATGACCTAAGATTCTGAATGGAAAGTTTACTTTTAAAAAGTTGCCATATTGTCCCATTGACAAGACCAAAGTGATCTGTGTGTTTTGTCGTTGTGAACTGAGCGATCATCATCGCAGCACGTCCAGTCTGAAACACCACTTGATGATTGGCCAAGCAAACACACACAGATGATGCGAATTCTCCACCCCCTCGTCAATATCAGGACCTCGTCAGTATTTCTTTCACCCTTTTATTGATAGACAGTGTTACATTGTGTGAGAGATTATTTATATATGTTAGCGTGAAATTAACCACTATTCCAATGTTATTTTCAATAATAATAAAAAAAACAAACATTTGCACTAAACAAGCCGATCCACTTGATGAGCATTAAAATGAGAAAAAAATAATGTAACAAAAAGAAATCAAAAGAATAGATAAAAATGTGCGATTAATAGCGCGTTAACTATGACATTAATGCGACTAAATATTTGAATAGTTTGACAGCACTAGTCAAAAGTCTTGTGGACGCATATTTAGTTTGTTTTGTGGCCTTTCGTTTTTAGTTTTTTCAATAACCGCGCATAAACAATATTCTCATGTACATACATGTTGCTCACATATTATGGTAGCCCTGTTTGTGCTAAATAGAGTGTAATTTCCCCTGTGCCATTTAATATGTTTATAAGCAACTGAAAAAAGCACAAATGTCACTGCATGTCAAAACATCTCAAGGACCCCAAATACCCCTTGGTCCCCAGGGGGTTAAAGGCCTTAAACCACTTGAACCCGGATAATTGCAGCTATATTTATTACCGTAATCTTATTTCCTGGGAAAAAATAGATCTTTCAGCATGTGATGTTTGTTGTGTATTTGCAGGAGTACGAGTTTGTGGTTCTGCCCAACGCCTACATGATCCACATGCCTCACGCGCCCAGTTTTGACATCACCAAGTTTCGCTCAAACAAACAGTACCGCGCTTGTCTGAAGACGCTGAAGGAAGAGTTTCAGCAGAACATGTCCCGGCGCTACGGTTTCGCCGCGCTCAAATACATGACAGTGGATAACAACAGCTAGCCGAGCACATGGTCCCAGAAACCGAAACGAGAACCTCCACGCGCTGATCCTGACGGCACCTTCAGTGGAACTGGGAACGCAGGGTTATTAGGAGGCACGGCTTGTGATCATCCATTCATTCAGGGATCCGACGAGACGTTTATCAGTGGTGTTTGACACCGGTGCCGAGAATTAAACTGTTGATTCCAAGTCACTTTTTGTGAGAAGGCGAGCAGATTCAGCTAACGGAAACTTCTAGAATAAATGATGTCTGTTGTTACTTATTAAAAATGGACAACAACACTGATGCACTTCAGATTAAAGCCTTGAATCTTCTACCTTTTCTCACATCTGAATATCAATCTATTGGTAGACCTTATGCCTCTCTTCATCTCTACAATCATTCTTTCTGGGTCGAATAAGTTATCTATCTCTGTCTAAAAACTGTTTATCTAACAATCTATATCTGTCGTACTATGCTGTCTGACAATCTGTTTCTATATCCATCTAACAGTTTGTCTGAATCTCTTTGTCTCTCTATATATCATTTGCCTGTCTGAAACTCTTGTCTATATCTCTTTCTCAAAATACGTCTGTCAATTTAACTAGCTCTCATTATATCAACAATCTCTCTCTCTCTCTGGATTCAAGGTTTCAGTCTCTGTGTCGACAGTAGTGGGAATTGTGTTGATTCTCACTGCAGATGTGAACCGTGTAATAAACAGGGATCTTCACTCATCGGACTGGCAATAATCCGTAACGAGAGGCCAAAGCGAACACTTCATCGAGATGGCATCGCAGCACACTAACAGACTTATGCACTCGATTGCAGGCTTAATTAACCAACTTAATCACTTTCTTCATTATTTGTAGAAGATAGTGGAGTTGATGGACGTGTCATGAGTTATAATTCCCCACCGGCGAACAACATGTCTGACTCAGGCTCGTGTTCAGAGAATACATCAGCTGGTGTTTTGCCTTTTTTACCACCCTGACTGCACACAAGCTCAACGTGTGTTGGTTTCATCTGCCATACGTCTCTAAAACGTGTCCTGTGTGAAGTTATATACTGAGATTCATCAGTTTACCACCTACATGATTGTGAATTTTTTGGTGAATCAGATATTTTCAATATGTTTGTATGACTTTTTCGGCAGCATAAGTGTGTATCAATGAAGTGCTTTTAATTACAGTAAGCCTGCGAGATCTTTTCTATAAGTTGAGTTCATTCACAGGAGGACTGCTGCTTTATTTCATCTTTCTTTATTGGTTTTTGAAGGAAAAATCATGCTGATGTCCTATGGAGCCCCTTGTGGCATGGCTGAGAACGCACTCGCACTTGCATTATCAAATGCATTGTGACAAGTTTTGGAAAGAGAGTTTGTGTTTACATATAATACACGCAGATACAAATAATCTGTGAAAACAACATGAATGTGATGATGAATGTGTGCTGCTTATATTGAAGAAAGGTCCACTAGATGAAACCTGGGCTAGTTGTCACTTTGACGTTTTTTTATTGAAACGTGATTGACACAATGTGAGGTCGTATTTATTTTTTAACGCGCAAAAATTTGATGGACTAAGATGGCATGCAATGCAAATATTAAAGGCCGTTTTATGCCTTTTCGAGACAATTCAAACTAAAACTGTTGGTTTTTTGTTTTTTTTAGCGGTGAAAATGTAAGATGTTAGTCATGGTGCTTTTATTGAGTTCGCTTGTTCAATGTGTATTACAAAAATGGAACAGTACATTTTAGTCGGGCATTAATTTACATTGGATTTTAAACCATGTGTTTTTTATTAACCACACTTTCAATATGTGACAACCAGTGTTGTGAAAAGTTACTACTAATTGCGTTACTTAGTTATTTTTATTAGAAGTAATGTGTTGCGTTACTTTTTCTCTCCTGGGCTGGGCTTGCTTCTTTGATTTATAATAATAACAACAACAAAAAAATAGTTTTTGGCAAATGTAACGTCCCTTAAGGCCAATTTATACTTCTGCGTAAGGTGCGCGCAGTAGGTATGGCATAGCATACGCAGAGACGCGTCCCATACCACGTACCCTTCGCCGTAGCCTGACATGCACCTCCTCAAGGCCAATTTATACTTCTGCGTCGAGGGTACACCGTAGTGCACTGGCATTGGCTACGCACGTAGGTGACGCCTTTGTGAGCATTTATTCTTCTGCGTTCAGGTCTTGGTTGCTCTGCAGTACTGCTCCGAAACGCTAGTTGGCGGCGGAGGGTTTTAATGTTCCACTGTTTAGATTCCTCGAGTTGCGGGTAGGTTACTACATGCCTGAAAGAGAGCGGATCATGTTGGAGTTGGAGCTTATTGAGGTGGAAAAACAGTTCACTTTAGTGAAATTACTAAAACTGAAAGGCAGAAACGAGAGAAGACGTCGGAGGAGATGGTACCCCAGATAGCAAACTGACATTGAATCAACGTGGAAATATGACATCGAAACAACGTTGATCTGACATTGTTTTGCTCATCGAATTAACGTTGAACCAACGTCAGACGCGTCATTCTTTCAAAACTAACGGAAAATCAACTTGAAATCAACGCGTTGTTTCAACGTTATGAAAGCAAACCAATTTTCGATTTTCATTTAGCTTTGAAGAATGCCGCGTCTGACGTTGGTTCAACGTTAATTCGATGAGCAAAATCAACGTTGTTTCAATGTCATGAGAGACGTCGTTTCCACATTGATTCATTGTCAGTTTGCTGTCTGGGACGTGTGAAAAGGCACGTGCGGAAATGTGTAGGAGGAAATGCGATGCTACCAAGCCGACCAATCACCGATCTTGCGGTCCGCGTCGTCGCGACGTGTACTTACATTTTTGAGGAGGGGCGTGTCAGGCTACGGCGAAGGGTACGCGGTATGGGACGCGTCTCTGCGTATGCTACGCCGTACCTACTGCGCGCACCCTACGCAGAAGTATAAATTGGCCTTCAAAAATGTAACTACACGTCGCAACGACGTGGACTGCAGGATCTGTGATTGGTCGGCTTGGTAACATCACATTTCCACATGTACCATCTCGCGCATTTCTGCACGTACCATCTCCTCCGACGTATTCTCTCGTTTCTGCCTTTTCGCTAAAATTAACTGTTTTTCCACCTCAATAAGCTCCAACTGCAACATGATCTGCTCTCTTTCAGTCGCCATTGCTTGTAGTAACCTAGCCGCGAGGAATCTAAACACAGTGGAACATTAAAACCCTCCGCCGCCAACTAGCGTTTCGGAGCAGTACTGCAGAGCAACCAAGACCTGAACGCAGAATTATAAATGCTTACGACGGCATAGGCTACGCATGCCGTACCCTCGACGCGGAAGTATAAATCGGCCTTGGCTGATGGAAATGCAAATTCACTCCTGTACAGCAGAGGGCGCAGCTCAAACAAACCTTTCAGCTGTGCTGGCATTCTGAATCACGGAAAAACAAAGCAATAAAAACTTCAAAAATTAAACAAGCCATTTTTGTTAGATTGGTTGAATCGGATCGTCAAAGCTCAGCAGCAAACACTTTGGTCAATAAAGTGAGATTAAATACATATAGTATATTTGTGAAAACTTTTAGTTAAAGCAGGTTTGCACAATATTCTGAGTTTGCATTTCACCGTTTTTATTCTTTTGGAGAAACAGATTGTACAAATGTTCACCCAATGGGACAGAAGAGGTGTCAATCAATACATGGGAAAACAAGTAACTTGCGTTACTTTAAAAAAGTGAAAGTAACTTTGTTGTAAATTAAAACGTTTTACTAGCTACTTGGAAAAAAGTAATCTGATTACATACCTTGTTACTTGTAATGTGTTAGCCCCAACACTGGTGACAACTAGCCCCAGACTCCTGTATTTGCATAAGAAGTAAAACCAGCAGATGAAGTTATTAATGGACGGCGTATGTGCGTCAAATCTGAAGGATACTCGGTTCCAACCATCCGGTTGATTTAGTATTGGTTTGGAAACGTCCACGTCACTGAAATGTTCTGATGTGGAAGCCTTACGTCCATGTTTCATAATGTTGCTATGATGCTCACTGATATGTTTGCTTTGGAGCCGTGTCATTATTTTCCAGTATTTTTCTGAGGTTGTACGCGAGATGTGTGCGCACACTAGCTGATTGATGTGTGTTTAATATCAATATAAACAGACACATGTCCAGGATAACACTGATCAAACTGCTTCTGAATAAAATCACATCATGTTGTCTTTTCCTGCTCATTTTACTGTTATGTACACGATGATGATGCATTCATTGCATTATCTTTATGAATCTCCTAACCACGAAGAAAATTATAAAATGTCATTCTCTGAATTAAGGTGACATCAACATGTATAAAAAAACAGTCCAATATTTCGCAGAGACGGCTGTCGTTTTGCCTTTTTAGGGTGTATTAAATATCAATATGGTAATTATTTTTAAACAACCAAAATTTTGCAACAATATATGGAAGTCTGCATTTAAAGGAATATTATGAGCAATTCTAACGCACTTTGGAGAGAACGATAAAGAAAAATAGACTGAATTTAATTGAACAGCCTGGTTTCTCATTCAAAATAAGCTAATTTTATATAATCTGTAGTACACTAGTTATCATAAACTAATAACGAACTAAACTTCTACAGCATGTATTCATCTTTGTTAATGTTCATTTTAACATTTACTAATACATTATAAAAATCAAAAGTTGTATTTGTTAACCTCAGTTAATGCAGTGTGAGGTAACATGGACAAACAATGAACAGCGGGATTTTTTATTAACAGATACAGTAAGAAATGTATTGCTCATGGTTAGTTCATGTTAGTTATACAATAACTAATGTTAACAAATTAAACCTTGTGGTAAAATGTTAACAAATTATTCAACATCAATAAAAGCTTTCAGTATGTCAGACAAAGGAATATTTCATTGATTCCTCTTTATCATAATTATCATTAATACTAATATTATTTTTAGTAATAGTAATAATTATCACGTTATAATATTAATATTATAATACATCCAGCATACTATTAATACGATGTTAGATGTTAGCACATTCAAAAATACATATCTAAATAAAAACACGAAAGAAACTGTGTTTAAATCGCCTTTTGTGAAAATGTTCATTATGAATTTGAAGTTTAGCCAATAACAACAAAATATTTATGTCATATTAATATAGGCTATACATCATGTGACTCTCCACAACACAACATAAAACAAAATGTTTTAAAAAAATGGGTCTAGAAAGCTTATTTTATTTTATTTTGATTTTTTTTTTTTCAATTTTTAAGCAATTTTATGGGAGATTTTTTTTTATTTTATTAAGTTATTAGATTTGATCAATAAATAATAAATGAATAGTAATTCAAGCACATTCCTCACATTCTTTCAACGTAAATTAAAAATATCTCACAAGTTCATGCATAAATCTTTTAATCCAGCTCAACATATTTTACATTGGGTGTCTTTGTCGACCTCTTGTGGAATTTCTTTAATATAACATGATATATCATGACTCTAGCCACTAGATGGCCTTATAGCGCTATATGGAGCAAATGAGCTGTTTCGCTGGGTCCTAAAGTCAGTTCCATTCTGTATGCATTCAAGTTTGTTTTTATTTATATAGCACATTTAACATGGCCAACATGGCTGACCAAAGTGCTGAACAAAACACAAGATAAAGAGACCAGGGCAAACTCATGATCGAAGCTCACAACGAATTAAAAGCTAAAGAAAAAACACTTCAGTTCTTAATGCGGGATAAAGTAAAAGGAGCAAAGTGATCCAGGTCAATGTTACTGCTCTTAAAGTTCTCATCGGGCCGAAGACTATAACCTCGGTTTTAGATTCATTCAGAAATAAGACATTTTGAGAAAATCACATTTTCACTTCATCTAGGCCCGCAAAAAGAGATTTCAGAGATGTTTGTTGCGTTTCAGAGGAAAGTAAATTTGGGTATCCCTGGATGCCCACAAAACATTCAGTCGGATAGAGAAATTGTACGATTAACTGTATGAAAAGCCGTGGTTAGGTCTAACAGTATTAGGATCACAGAGTCAGTCGCTAACAGCATAGCATATCGTTAAAAACTGTAATAAAACCGACTCGGTGCAGTGCTGAGGCACAAGTTTCAAAGTTTGGAAAGTTTCAAAAATTGATTTGAGCAATGAGAAGACTGGAGTTGGATGAGAACAGTTTTCTCCAATGCTTTGGTAATAGGTCGCAAATTATTTAAATCCCTCCCTGTTTACCTTTTGGTAAAGTTTTGTTTTTTAATTTTTTAGCAT